AGTAAATGTGCATTAGTTATTAACATTCTAATTTTAAGGTTTCGGAGAGGTTTCGGGTTTCGGTGCCCAACTCTAAAACAGTTGTAATCGTATACTGTAAAGAAGATCCAAATTCAATCCGAAGAATAGGATCGAAACACTACTTATTAGATATTTAATCACTACGTAGGATTCCCACTATTGAATCCGAATTGAATCCGAATTTGCTAATCCGAATTAAAATTCGAATAAACCGGATATGTTGAATATTAATCCGAATGGCCTTTTGAAAATAGGATCGACACACTAGCTTTGGCTAGCATAATAATATTTTGACTTTTATATATAGCAACTGTCGGCGATTTTTTAAAAAAAATTGTAGTAGCTTATTTTTGAGGTACTATTATCCATATTTATTCAGTTTTCATTCGTGTCAAATCTTAATCACTTAGTCAATAATTTAGAACAACCTATTCGTTCCTTATTTACCGTACCGCACTGAGCAAAAGACCCCCCTTTCTGAGTACCCCCCATGCAAGAGATCCGGGTATTTTACATAGCATATTTTTTTCCACCAAGTATAATACCCGGGTATTTTGTAATTATTTGACATAGGATTTTGTAAATGACCCGGGTATATTATATTTATTACTATCGTAGTTATATGTATTCATTATAGCCTGTATATAAGTTATAGGTTTTTTTTTGTTGTGCGCAGTATTTAAAATTGCTTTTTTTAATTGTGCGCACAGTATTTATTACATTTTTTTAGTTATGCGCAGTATAAAATCAATGCAATTTTTTTTTTTGTGATAAAAATTTTTTTAATACTCAGTTAACATCATTTACATTAAATCGCACTTTCATTTTTTAATCATCAGTAAATCGAATTAATTATTTCATGATGTTTGAACAAGTCGGGTACTTTAAAAAAATTTACAAAGTAAATCAAACCAAAAATCAAAAAATTTTCATCTGAAACTATGCACACTACATCGCTGCATATTTTTGATGATAAATAAAGTTCTTAATTTCAATTCCATTTAATAGCAATATCTAGTGCTAAGCCTTTTATTTTATTTAATCTATGCCAAATATGGCCTCAGTTTTCAATTCATTACAAAAATAACTGCCTTTATGTTGACCTTTTCTATTCCATTTCAATAGCAATAACTAATTTGTATTTGATATTCATCTCTGATCCCTATTATGTAATAATGAAATGAAATGTTTATTATAATCTTTCAGAAAGCTTTTTTAGTTGACATTTTGTGCATCAAAATACTATAATGAAACCAGAAGCTCTAACCCTACTTACTAATTGAATATTAATTCCAGTTTTGAATAACATTTGGTTCTTCGCCTTCTTCATAATAATTATTATAAACTAATCCGTTTTCATTTGTATCTTCACTTTCACTTTTGCCTTGGCCTTCATGTTCACTTTCACCTTGATCTTCACTTTCACTTTGACTCTCACTTTCATCTTCACCTTCATAGTTTTCATTATTTTCTTTTTGGTTTTCAACTCCTTGTCCTGGATTCATTATATTATTAATTCGCGTAAAAGCAAAGATTAAATCATCTTCGGCTCTATCCATCGCATTTGAGATTCCACAACACTTAAAGGACTTTTTAACTAAATTAATATCAAAAGCTTTTCAGGCTTCTTTTACCCAATTAGCAACTAAAGAATAAGAAGGATGTTTCAATTTGCCTGCCTTAGTATATTCCTTAATACCTTTATCAAACCACTGATTATAGATTTTTTGTATCTGTTCAAAGTATTATTAAAATTAATTAAAACATGATAAAAAAAAATAGAGATAAAAATAAAAAGATAAAAAATAAAATAAAAAAATAAAAATTAGGTTTAAATTCACATTTGCTTTAAACGGCTTATTTAAAGTGATATCAAGAGGTTGTAAGCGAGATATTAAACTCTTGGGAATTATGGCTAAGTCAGTATGTTTTCCATAAAAGTGATTTTTGACAAGATCTGTCATATAACCAGTAAATGAATTCAAAATCAACAAAGAGTGTGGATTGTTTTCAGGTCATGCTTGTCAGGTCCAAATATTTTCTACCCACTATAATATTTCATATTCATTCATCTATCCCGAAGGATTAGCACATACAAAAACACCATCAGGAAATTCTTCACAAAGTACATTCACTAGCTTAAAAATGATTAAAGGCAGAAGCTTAGTACTATCAGCCAAACAGGCTAAAACAACAGTAAAGTTTGAATGTTTGTACCTAGTAGATGCAAGTGCAATAGTTTTGATGCCTTTTTTTTCAATAGTAGTATTGTTTATCATATTAAAAGCTATAGCAGTTTTGTCTATATTACCGATTAGCAACAAAGAGTAATCATATTTACAATGCTTAAAAAGTACAAAAGATAAAAATTCATGTTGATCTTCAAGATAAGTTTTAGGAAGACGTTGAGCAGTTGTAGTACACTTTTGGTTTACCAAATCATTTCTTGACATAAACTTATCTACCCACTTTTGTGAAAATTTGTGATTTTCGATTCTCATATTTTTCTTAATAGCAGAATATAGCACAAAGAATACGAGCCTTTGCTTGAATCATGTATCGACTAACAGTTTTTTGCTAAGATCAGAGCTCTTGAAACCACTCCATTAATTCAACTTCAAGTTCAGGGTATTTTGCCTTAGCACCAACTGACAACTTTTGAATATATGGTGCAGCCTTCATAAGGCTTGATTTTTAACTGATCCACTCACGAAGTTGTTTTGGTTCTATTTGAAATTCTTTAGCAGTTGAGCATTTACTATGTCCTTTTTCATGGTAAACAATTATTATTAATTTTTCATGGGCCGATCATGATCTTTTTTTTTATTTGCTAATCAAGATGGTGCACGTCGAGCCTTGAAATTTCCACAGATCCCCATTATAAGAATGTTCTTTGACTTTTATTAGACGTAGTAATATTAGTTCTATAAGATATGAGAATTAATACTAGTGATACTAGTATATTTGCATATAATACGGGCATCTTTTTCTTTTTTCTATTTTCTATTTTTTTCTTTTTTCTATTTTTTTCTTTTTTCTATTTTTTTCTTTTTTCTATTTTTTTTCTTTTTTCTATTTTTTTCTTTTTTCTATTTTTTTCTTTTTTCTATTTTTTTCTTTTTTCTATTTTTTTCTTTTTCTATTTTTTTCTTTTTTTTATTTTTTTGTCGCATTGACTTTTACATTCCACAGACCTGCAAACGTTCTTTGACGTTTATGCATTAGGTGTTGGCGTGGATAAGAATCAGTTTTACAAGTATAAAAATTAGGTAATAATAGCACTGCTGTGCATGGTGCTGGAAGGTGTGTTTTATCGTTTATCATTTTTTTTCTTGTCAAAATTATCGTTCAAAAGTTTTTTTTTGCTTCTAAAATTCAATCTGGTAACGAATCGGCTTTTATATTACTTGTAAAACGCTGCTATATGTCGTGTATGAGACCCTCCTATATAAAATATACTGACTCAAAATACCCCCACACAAAATACCAAAAGACCCTACCACACAAAATACCCGGTATCGAATGAGATACCCGCGGATACTTTGTAAGTTTTTGATCGAAGATTTTGTATTAGACCCCGGGTCTTTTGCTCAGTGCGGTACGGTAAATAATTTAATTGATGCAAGCTAGCCAATTAGATGAATGTTATCCTGTGATGTTTCGGTGTGAAAATCATGTCTCACTGAAACCACTGGAACTCTGAACATCCAGTGGGTTCCAGACTTCTAGTGAACAACACTGGTTTAGCTTGTACCGTATTGACGCGTAATAACGCGCATCTGCGCATTATTTCGAGACCCTGCGCGTTATTTTGGGACGCGCATGCGCGGTCATAGACAGACATTCGTCTGATTGGCTGATGTAAATCAATTGCCGGGTAACTTATTTATACAGTTTAAAGTACT